TACATTCGATGAGGACCTTTTTTCTTAGAAGCTTTCAAACTAATTAGGTGTTAAAAAATGGCACTCATTGTTTTTGTTTTGTTTTTTTGTGTCACATTCTATTTTAATCAAAGACATTGGCATGTGAAGTTGGTACCATTCTTTGCTTTCTTCTTGGGATTAGGAATCCAGCTGCCATCTTTTCTTTTGTTTTATTGTTTGTTTTTTAGGGTTCAAAATTTTAATGTGATTACTTGTGTGAGATGGAATTTTAATTTTTGTTTCTTTTGAATTATGAACAATGCTTAATATTAGAGTTTATCGAYGAACGAYTACCATTAAATTTTTGACAAGCGAGAGAAATGTAGGAAAGAAAATATTRTTCTGGTTCTCAATTAGCTAAAGAACTATCACATTTTAGTTGGTGGCCAGTATAAAGATGACTATTGTCATATTGACTGGTCAACACTTAAGTATTTTTAAAAAATTAGCAAGTGTTACTTGCAATTGTTCGAAAATGTGTGTGCTCTCTAATTATCATTCAAAATACATCTTGTAATTTCTCTCTGGTATATTTCACGGATTTTTTTTAATAATACTTTATTTTAAACTTATTCAAGTATATATCAACTCCCAAATTATTTTCAAGAATAATGCATGGAAAATTATAAGTCGTCTCCTAGAGACAACCTGTACCACTTCACACAATTTTCGAGTTGCATGGTGCCATGTGTTTTTTTTTATTAGTTCTGACAAAGATAGAATTTATTTTTGCCTATATGTTCATGTGTCATTAGCACCTACTCGTATTAAAAAGCAAGTCCACACTGTACCAGAGTGGTAATTTTGTATAATTTTGACATATGTTGTCCCCTTAAGAGATGACATGCCAGAACTAATAAAAAAAAACACATGCCCCAACACCTTACAGCTCAGAAATTGTGAAGTGGCGTGACGACTTCAACATTATTTTTGGAAATAGTTTGGAATTGATATATACTTAAAATTTATTGGTGTTATTCTATCGTCAAATTCAGCCCCCATAAGTATTTTAGTTAGTTTATGTAGATTCAGATTTAATAACATAGACACATTGGTGCCTTAATACACATCTTCAAAGTTACGTTATTTATTTATTAAATAATTAATGGTAAAATCTCTTCAAAAAAAATTAATTAACAAACTTAAAAAACTATTTTATAGTATAGAAACCAAAACGAGATAACTAAAACTTTATGGGTGTAACTATTTATGTGCTTATCATTTTCAAACAACAAACAGTAATTATTTTAAAGGCTTCCTTCTTAAATAGGACTGTTTACTATTTTGATCTATGTATTTTCAACTTTAGTTGGTTTTGGTTCCTAAATTTTCAAAATATTTATTTTGATCCATATCCTTTCAAAATCTTTGTCACTTCTTTTTTCGCAAATCACGGGTGGATTGTAGAAGTGAATATTTTGTGCATATTAAAATCACCATTAATAAATTTGTTATTTTGAAAGGAATAATAGTTCTATTTCTTAAAAGATAGGTAATTGGTGAAAAAAATTATTTGTATATTCAACCATCTTTATAGAGAATCTTTATTAAAAAAAAAAACCCTATAGTTTTTAATAACAACAATCATTGTCGAACACACATTTTATTGGAAATCCTTCTCAAAATCATGTGCTTTATTACTTTAAATTAAAAGAGGTAAAGTATTGTTTTAAAAAGGCCTACTTTTTTTGCCCTTTTAACACTTCATAAACATTTGAAGCTTAGAAAGTTTAGTTGATTTGAAGATAGGGTTTATTTGAAAGTTTCAAATAGTTTTATTTATTTCTTTTATTTTTTAAACATTCTTTTTAGGTTCAACATATTACCTATAGAATTACTATTTTTAATTTCTTGATTATTATAGGAAGAAAACAACTTTAACCAATTTTCGATCAAAATATCGTGTGTCTGAACTCTTAATCCCACATGTTGTACTAAAAAATTTATCTTTTAACCATTCGTAGATAATATTCATGTAATTAAAATTTAAGAAAAATAAAAATCAAATTGAAAAGTAAGTTTAACTTTTTTTTTTTTTGACAAAAAACAATTAGGAATGGTAAACCTTGAACCAAAAGAACCGTCCCATTGACTTAAATTAATCTACATTTCCACAAACACAATTTCAACACCGAATAGAATCTTCTGATATTCTTTTTTGGTAAATTAAAATAAAATGATGATTTTGAGCCTTTGACCCCATTTCATCCATTAAATTTTTTGATAAATCTGTTTTTTTTTTCATAATAAGAACTTAATTATTTATTCAATTTTAGTTGAATTATTCTAAAATACTACTCCTGTCAATTTAGATATTTTGAACCGATCAAGGTATTAATAATTTCTTTTTAAAAGTCGTAGTTTTTTTTTTCTTAAGAAATTTTTAAAAGTCGTAGTTGAAATCTGGCTTAATGTTTGGAAGGAAGAAAATAAAAAAGGAAAAATAAAATAATTGAAATAAAGTGGAGATGAATTGTCGTGCACACCACAAATTTCAGGGCTATTATTTCATGATGTAGGGAATTAATTATGAAAAAAAAAAAAAAAATCCACGCCCCGCTTGTTCAGTACTGTTAACTACTAATGTGTTTGTTTAAATAATTTTTATGGATTTTTAGTTACTTTTAAAATTTTTCCAAAAAATATTCATTCACGTTGGAATTTTTTCGATATTTGACATTTTCTGTCCACATCAATATTTAAAACCTTACCTTTTTAACTAATATTTAAGTAATCTTGACAAAGTATTTAAATATCATGTTCGATAGAAATATTTTTTAGTGCTTCAGAGATTTAAAGTAATAAATAATTATTTTCCACAGCTTAAATAACTCATAAAAAATCTTTAATATAATAGTATATTTAGCTTCATATTAGGTAATTAGTTTTTCTTGGTTAAATTCATTTTAATCCCTATGTTGTTGTGGTTGTCTAAGTTATTAAATGTTTTTTTTATAAAGTTGTTGCTTCAAATTTTGTGACCATAATTTTAAAAATTATAATTTAATCTTTATTAGATCCTCTAAAATATTCATGTTTTCTTTAGGCTCGTGGCATACTTTTTTTTTTTTTTGAGGTGGCCAAAAAAAGAACTTTTAAAACATTAGAGACAAAAATGCTAATTTAACCTATTTTTTAAATATATTTTTATATCTCCATTCAACTCCTTCATTTCTTCAAATATCAACAAAAATAATGACAAATCAACAGATATTTTATTCCTTGGTCTTGATTTCTTTGAATTATTATTAAATAATTGTAAAAGTTGCAGCTGTCCAACCAATGGTTGCCTGCCACTTGTTTTCAAAAAAAAAGAAAAAATTTCACTATGTTTCTCAATGACATTACCTAAATGAGAAGCAAA